CTGTTTGACTGGAAGAAAGCTGCTCAGAAAGATGGAAAAAACAAGGAGGTGTTCTTTTATGATGCAGGCATCACTTACAACAACGGACGATCAGGTCAGAGTGAGGAGTTCAAAGGTCGAGTCTTTCATTTTCCTAAAGAACTGAAACATGGCAACGCCTCCATCATCATCAGAAATACAAAGATGGCCGACAGCGGAGACTACACCTGTGTTTTTCCACATCTTCAGCCACGTCAAACGTTCCACATTAAGCTTGTTGTTGGTGAGTACTTTAATGAAACAGTTAAATATGAAGATTAAATCTCAGTGAGCACTTGTTGTACGACTGAACTGGTTTCAAGCATACTCTGATCTTAACCCATCCAGGATACAAACCAGTCAGGTCTGTGACTGTGAACCTGTTTCAGATTTTTTTTTTTTTTTAAAGAGTTCAATGAACATGGAAACACATTTCTTAGCTGTCTGTTAACTTGATGAAATCACACAAGAACTCTAACATGTGTTTTGTTTTGCCTTTCAGATCGTGTCTTAACCTCTTGAGGGTCATTTTGATTATGTGCATTTCTGTCTCTTAATACCTTCACATGTTAAACTGTATAATACCAGGACCATGAGGAGATGATACATGTAAATTACATCACTGTAAAACAAACACTCAGTAGGTTTCATCAGGTGTGTTGATCTCACTTCAGACTCTGACAGAGTTCAATATGTAAAATATTAAATATAAAATAATAGAAGTTCTCTTGTTTTTTACCCTTTAACATCATATTTTAAACACAGTAAATCAGTCCTAATAAGAGCCATCAGGTTGAAATTCACAGGATCTGTCCCTCAACTTGTCTGTAATGTTTGTACCAAATTTGAGGTTGATTGACAGAAGTGTGTGTGAGATATTTTAGAAAGTGTAGTACAGAGCATCTCCAGCAGAGGACTCCAGAGCTCTGTAAAACTTTTTCAAAGTTAGCAAATGATGAAAATAAATCTCTTTATGATTCTGAAAAAATGTCCCTAAGTGTTAAATGTGACTATAAAAAGATGTTTTTAATATTTAAATAAAGATTTACATATTTATTATCATTGAATCTCGCCTCCATAAACATATAAATAAAGTTTCTCTGTTATGTGGGTGTCCCACTACCACAGGAAGTCCACATACAG